CAACAGAGTTATGACCTAAGCCTCTCCACATAAGCTTTTTCTTGGGTTGGGCTTAGAAGACTTTTGCTGCTCCTCTGTGCGCAGTTGAGATTCGTCAACAATGTAAGCCAAGAAGGTGTAAGCATTGCTGAACAAGGTGTGAAGCAGTCGCCTTCTGCCTTTTAGCCAGTGTTCCCCCAGCCCTAGCTGCAGGATGATGTGCCATCACTTTTAAAATGTGTCCTTTAAGGCCGATGGTGCTCTCCTTCATATCAATCTGAAGTGATTCTATTGGCTCTGGTGGAATTATTCCAGATTTCACACCTTTTTAACTGAGAGCATAAATTGACCTGTATGTGTTGCATTTCCTCTATTTGGTAATTATTTCAAGTACACTCAGATTCGCTAAATTTCCACAGCCAAGCAGGCACATTTGCAGCATGGTGTTAATAAACAAAAAGATCCTGTGATGCACAGTTTTGGGACTGCACGAGGCAATCGCTCAGCGTTTGTCAGCCGTCCTCTCCTCCACACGCAGCAGACATTGTGGCACAGGGCAAGACAGTGACTCAGCAAGGCAGATTGCTGGGATCCTTTCAGCCGCCTGTGGCTCCCACCAAAGGCAGGATCCAGTTCAAGGTTGCTGTGGTGACTATTTTCAAAGCTCTGCCCGGAATTCGTTTTAGCTACCAAGAGACTGTCTGTCACTCCATGGCTACCACCTCCCACAGGAGCTTCGTTCTGCTGCTAGACTGAAGCTGTTAGTGAACCGTTCCCTGCAGACAATAGAGGCCAGTGGTCTACTGTTTATACTCAATAAAATCTTTTTGGTTTCTGAAGTTCTTCATCTACGACTCTTTTGGCCTTTAAGATGTTGTTTGGCACAGATTTTGCTGGACACACCAGTAAGGTTGGAGTTCTGTAGTCTGACACAGAGCAAGTTGCAAGTGAAATCCAACTTTGGCAAAGTCTGCTTTTCTCTAAATAACTACAGAACTATTAAAAACCCAGAATAGTAGTGGAGCAAAACAGCATGCATGCCTGAGCTTTTTTCCTTTCTTTCCCCTTTCCATCAGTCTTGTTTGTTGCTGATACACTGTGATTTTGTATCTGGTGTGTGGGATAAATCCCAGTAAAACATTGCCCTAATGTACTTGTATCAGCAGTGGCATAATGAGATAGCTTCTGTAAAAAAGCTAATCCTGAAATTTAGGCCCAGGGTTAAGCAGACTAACTCTTCAAATTCATGAAGATATTCAAGATTTTCATTCCTTAGTTGCCTGTATCGTGTTTTTTTTCTCCTTTTGCATTAATACCAATTTATTTTTTCTCCTCCCCTTTTCCTCATCCTTGCCCCCAAGTGTTCTTCAGCTTTTATATATTGAGTTTCCCTTGGCATGCTAAAAATCTGCTGATGAATACCACTTGTTTGAAAGTTGTCTGCAAGATTTCTTTTTGTGCGAGTGTTTTATATGAAATTCAAGCAAGCAAGTATTTAGAACTTAGGCTTGAGCCTAAGTTTTCAGTTGTGTGTGCCCCATATTTTACACACTTCCAAAGTCTTCATCATTAATTTTGTGGACGTGTGACGGTCTCTTTTGCAAGTGTCCCTGAATGACTGGGAGCGGCATAATGTTGTAGGGAAGTAAAGGAAGATCACAGAGCTCTAGTAATCCTTTAAGTGTGTTTACATGTCCTGTTTATTAACTGTTACATATTTCAGAAACAGAAAAATCTAGAAGCACCTTTCTTTCATCACGGCAGAGATTTGGTGCCTTCATTTACAAGTTTAAGTTGATGTGTGATAGCTGGACACAAAAGATTTAATTTCTGAATTTGCTGGCTGTTGTACGTTTGGTGTTTTGTTTTGGGTTTTTTTTTCTTTCTGCCCCTGACATGCTTAATCTTTTGTAAGACCCCTTTTGTGTTTTAGTTCAGGCAATTAATGTAGAAATGAAGGTTTCTTAAATCAGAATATGCGAGGAAGATTTGAAGTAACACACTGATTATATAATTAATTCTCAGTTGTAAATTCATTTTGATGGAGTTAATTCTTTCCCAGAGGCTGAAGACTAGTTTTGGTCCACCCACAGTGCTGTAATCAGCTAAGAAAGAAAGAAGAAAAAGGCCTTGAAGGAATGGAAGTTTCACGACTGGTTTTAGGAAAAAAAAAATGCCAGAAACAGGCAGGATATTTTATTTTTAATTCAAGCAAAAGCTTCTGAGCTGTGATTTTGAACCATGGGTAGCCAAATCCTGTTTTCAAGCAGCATAATACATTGAGTCCCAAAAGAAATCAGAAAGGAACAATACCTGAGGAGGATGGAGAAAAATTATCTGGGTGTTGGAACCTTGCACAGATGGGGAAAGTGTGTTTAGTGGAAGATGTATTTAGGATCATTTTTTACATCTTCCACAAATATGGTAATGCTCAAATATAGCTTTCTGTACGACAGTTGCTATTTCCTAATAAATATGGACCAGTGACTGTCATCTTGATGGACTATGAACTCTCTTACTGCTTCCAACAGTCTTTTGTGAGGTGCTGACTTCAGAAAGCATAAACAGCACTCCAAAACCTAAATAATTTGAAAAATCCTGTTTGTCGTACTTCATTTGTCTGGTGCTTTCTTGCTTAACCAGTGACCTAATCATCCTGTAGATGTGTTTAGACTGCAGGTTTCCAGAACAAAACAATAATAACAAAGAGAAAATGTTGACAGATTTCCAGGATTTTCAATGATTCTGCACACATATTGCAGTGTATACTGCTAGGACAGTTGCTAGCCTGTTTTAGTCTCTAATAACTTTATTTCATTTACAAGGCTTTCTAATCCCGGTCTGTCTCTGCCTTTTCCTTGTTGGGCATATTTTGTGTTATAAATTGAAAATGCCATTGTCTAGGGGTGATTTTAGCATGCGTGCTAGGTAAGGATATGCATGCAATTGTCGTTACATCCTAGGAACTGGTAGTTTCTGTCTTATTTTTTTAGTCTGTTTGGTGGCTGCAGCAGAAGTTATGTTGTGTTGGTTAAACTGCATTATCACCACATTTCTAAGCTCAATCGAAGACGTGTAAATGAAGTCAGCATGATGCAGATAGAGCTGACAGATGATCTTCCTTGCAGCTCTGGGTAGCAAGAGTAGGCTTGCCCTGGAATATCGCTTTATCTAAAGTGGTTTCTTTATCCCTCTGAATTTGGACAGCATGAAATTCCCATTGGCTGGTTGTCTATGAACTGCTCCCCAACTTCTGCTTCCAAGTTTGGTGTAAAAAAGCTAACTATGGCTAAGGGACCATTGTACCATTCTAGGGAGTGAATAGTTAAATATATTCTTAATTTGTCATTTACATTTGAGCCTAACAAGGTTATAAGTGGAGTTGTGTGAAAATGACTTTTTGGTGCTATTTTCACATAAACTGACTATTTATTTATTTATTTTGTTCTGGGGTTATTTCACACCCCAAGGGTTTCATTTTTGTTGGTTGTTTTATTAATGCGAAAATACTCATTTTCACACCCAAATGTGTGATTATTTAAAATGCTGCTTCTATTCATTGTGCACTCACTTGCAACCTAAAGGCAAATATTCAAATGTCTGGAGCTTGTCTCGATAACTCCCTGGTGGTTTTGGTTGGCTTTTTAAACTCAAAAATTACTGCGAAGAGAAATGGGCAGTGAGTCATTCAAAGAGTTACAAGGGCTATGCTGTTATGTCTGCCTCTCAGCATCCAAGGATGCTTCCTGTGTTATTCCAGCACACGACGCCGTAGCGTGGTGCCCTCTCATACGCACAAACCTTACAGCACAGTAGTGCCAAAAGGCTGTAGCCATGTGCCTTCACCTCTCTGGCCCAGTGTTACTTTAAGTAGCCTCTGACCCTCTCTCCTACATGGAGAAACAACGTGGGTTCACAACACAGAAGCAGAATTGCAGCAGTGTTGATCTGAGTGGCTCTGGCCCTTGCTTAATCCCACCCACGCTTTCCCCTGCCCTGGCTCGTGAAGACCACGGAGAATGTGGATGCAACTTGTGTTTTACCAGCATCTCCCCTCTTTGGGCACTGACTGGTTAAAACACAAGTTAAAATGTCTTTTTTTTTTTTTTTTTTTTTTTAAATTGGGCTGATTTTGGAGAGTCTAAATGTGATGTAAAATCAGTGTCCAGGGCTCTGCGTTTTGTAATAAGTGAATGTTTTGCTGATTTCTTGCTAGAATATCTGCAACCACACCAATTTGCATGCCTGTATATGTGTTAGATTGCTGGCAAAGAAATGCTGAATGCTGATAATTGTATACTGATTTCCAAGGCTGATTTAAGTCATTTTTGATTTTTAATTCATTCTGTGCTTCCTTTTTATTTCTGCACATGTGTAGTAATGTCCTGTAATGTTGTTGCCTAAAATAAACAGTAAGAAATGAAGTTGTGAGATGGCTGCTGTAAAAGGAAAATGACTTTTTTTTCCTTTGATTCTTTTTTTTTTTTTTTCAGTAAAAGAATAGGTCTCTGTATACAGAATGTTCAAAAAAAAATACTGCATTCACTATCTTGCTGCTAATTTATATACAGAAAACAGCATGGCTGTTCAGAGTCTACAAAGCTCAGAAAAGTGATATTCTGAAGTTCTGCACAATAATATTCTTGTTTTTGAGAAGCACTGAGCACCCAGCACTCCTCTACAGGTTAGCTGGACTCAGGGGTGCTCAGCACCTCTTCTGGTTTGGGATGCAGCTGGGCTTTTTGGTGAGAGCCTGATCTGAGATCCTGCAGTCAATTTGTGTGAGAAGATAAATAAACCTCTACTCATGGGCTGAGGAAAAGGAAGAAAATATAGGGATCTGTATGTCTTCATGTTAATTGTATATGATAAACCCAGAATGTGTGTTCTCTCCTTCCTTCAGTGATAGACTCGAGTACATGGATGCATCAGTGGTACTGGGAATCTTTCTTCATGTATCTGTGAACATGTTAGCAAATACGAATGTATAAAAAGTTTTGGTTTTCTTTTGTTTTTGTTAGGAATCTGAAAAAAAGGGGTTAATTGACAGAATCCACATGGTCCAAGAAATCATCATAGCTGTTCAAAGCATCCTAGAAGAAGTAGCATCATTTGGAGAGAGGATTAAAAAGTAAGTGATACTTTTTCCTTGCTTAGCCATGATTTGCAATGAAGCAAAGCCAGGAGGACTGAGGTAGAGTGAATTTCTTGCTCCAGAAATGACTACAAGGTGCAGCAGGAGAGCCTGTCCAGTCCTACCACCATTCCTTCTTCTCATGGAGCTCTTTACTCCAAAAACCTAGAGAAGAGGAGAAGCCATGTGCTCTGCTGATGTAGCTCTCACATTCACCCATTTGCTGAGATTTTTGGTCTCGTCTGTCTGTGATGGGGTAGGGAGTCATGATGCCACACAAGGGAAAATAGTGCTTGAAGATGTGACCACAGAAGTATCAAGGCTTTTTATTTCCTTCACAGAAAGTAGGTAAGAATGGATCGTTGGTGTTGCCTTTCCCACGCCCTCCTTGCCCTCGCCTGGTTGCAGGGGTTACCAGTCACTTATTTCCCTGGCCAATGCATTGATGTTTTTCTGTCTTTACCATTTTGAGCTGTCTGCTTCCTGCTGGTGCCACAAGGAAGCCCGAAAGGGGTTTTCTGGGTCTCGTTGCAAGGGGAGGCAGATAGGGTATTCCTGACCTTACAAAGGAGGGAGGTGAAGAGCCTAAAAAAAAATTCCACACACAAACTTTTATAACCCAATCTTTATCGGAGCTTAATTGACCCACATTGTTTTCTGTTTTGAACACAAAGTGATGGTTTGTGATCAAGCCACTCTAATGTGGAGCTGGGTTCAAGCTAAAAATACAGCAAGCGCATCTGCTGTGGTTCCACGCCGGACACCCCAGCTGGGGTGGAAGTGGCCCAGAGATGTATTCCAGTCTATGAACAGGGCACTGTTCTGCCCAGCTGTGTGGCAGGAAGACTCACAGTGCTTAAGCACTATTAATTCTTGTATTCATTTTGGTAACAATGGTCTTAAAGAACACATTGGGTATTAATGTGGATGCCCGATGTAATTTCAGAAGAATTCCATTGTAACTCAACAGTAATGTACCATTAAAAATTTGCCACCAAAGTTTTTCTGTAAGTGACAGACTGAATTGTGCTACAGTTTCCGTCTGTCACTCTAGTTATACAGTCATAGGGAGTTTTAACAGTTTAACTGGATTGAGCTGTTTTGCTATTTTTTTTTTTACTTTAGCTTAAGCTAGGTTGATTGATAATGATGGGTCCTCTCCCACCTAACTTTACTTAATATTTAACATCTATTGAGGCTTAAAAGTAATTCTTCTAGCATCCTATTAATTTTGTCTGTCAAGGGAAGTTCATCTTATTTTATAGCCTGATAAGTGGTCCATATTCATTCTCTCTTCTTCCTACTCCCCGTCATCATGATGTGATGGAGCAGGCAGATTGTATGAAACAGAGATGCCCAGATCCGTAAATCCACCTGTGGACTAATTGTCAGTCCTGTAGGTCAGATATCTCAATGTTTGGTGCATACAGGTATCTTATAAGGGCACAGAGTAGTAAAGTAACTTCAGAGATGTGTTAGCCATAGCTACTTGCCTTAAGTCCATCGTGGGCTTACAGATGAGTGGTCTGAGTGAAATGAAGTCCTGTTTTGTGCTACAGTGCTGCAACAGTCTGACTGTGGTGGCTGAGCCTCTGGAGAGTGCTCCTCTTGGGAAAAAATCTGATGCAGGTTGGTGGTGTGCAGAAGCCTGGATTGCTGCTAGCATACTATAGTTTACCCAAGACAGCCTCCTATATACAGTATAGTAAGGGGTTGTTGAAAACAAGAAAGTAGAAGCAAATATATAAATATTGAGAGATTTTTGTAGAATATTATTCCCTAATAGTATACAGAGAAATGATTTTAACTGAGCTTTTAAGGTTTAGCATCAGTCATAATCCATTCCAAGTTATTGGCGGGGTCGAACCTGGCTACCTGCCACATTTGAATCATGCACTGACACACATCCCATGCCATCTCCACCGTGGTCCAGTGGAGCCAGCTCAGATGGCTTGCACCTGCGGCATGGCCTCGTCTCCAGATCAGATAATCTGTCCATGAATAATGGAGAGCTGACCGGTGAGGAGAGATGTGTAACAAGTGCGACATGTATAAGAAGAAACAAAAACAACTCGCTACATGCCTAACAACTTCACTGAGCTCCCCAGAGACTATCTTCTCTCTCCTTATCATGATATCTGCCTCTCAGATATCTCCCTTAATCCATTATAGCATCCAGATGCAGGAATCTGCTTTCCAAAGGGTCTGCAATTTACAGTGCACTTGAATGCAGCGAGCCCTGCAAACAGGTCATTAAACTATTATTGGGTAGCAGAGTACAAGCAGTGTCCAAGAGCAGAAACATTGAGAAGGATTATTTTTCTTCTTTACAGCACATTCAACTGGACGGTGCCTTTCCTCTCTGTCTTGGCGTGCTTGGTCCTGGCAGCAGCAACAGTTATTTTGTATTTTATACCACTGAGGTACATTGTTTTAATCTGGGGTAAGTACTCCACTGTGTCTCATTTGCATGCAATAAATACAATATATATCTACAGAATGAAATCAAACAAGCTTTAAATGACCTGTTACACAGCCAATCAAGTGCTGTTGATTAGAGGTGAATAACTAGGCTATGAACTTCCTAAAATTACCATTTTTCCCTCCCCGGATGATCGGATGATCTGCTTTTCTTAGGATTCTTTATAAATTTCCAACAGCATCACAAGAGCAGCATTAGTTTAAACAAGCTACTTGCAATATTATTATTATTCTGCAGGAGAGTAATTAGCTTCATGGTGCTGGAGCCCCCTGGTTGGAAAATGGTGGGGAGTGGTCAAGATGTGTTTGAAGACCTGGACCACGGAGGCTGGGACCCCGGGAACCTTTTGGGTCTTAACTCCCCCACAATCTGGAGGAGCAGTGTGCCCAGTACCCCATGGTCTGACCAGAGGCACTGGGCATCTCTGTGTCAGGGGTTGGAAGGGAGTTGTATGGAGGTGCGTCATGAAGTAAAAGAGGAGCTTTTAAAAATGAAAACTTTCCTGGTGGTGTTATGAAGAAGAGTAAGGTTCTTTCACAAAAGGAGATGGCATTCCAGCTGCTGAAGAGTTTCTTTATCTCAAAATGGCCTTCTATCTTATTTAGGATGATAACGCTTTATCTCAGCCTTGAGGTAAAATGGCTGAGAAGGTAATGGAGGTAATCCTCACCGAACTGCTGAAGCTCAGACCCGGTGAGGCTCTGGGCTGTGTGGGGACCCCCTGTTTGCCCTGCCAGGGCTGAGCCATCTGCTGCTGTCTTGGCTCTCCTGGATGCTGAAAAGGGAGGGAATGAGAAGGTGGCAGTATGAAAAGCCAGTCTTGGGCAAAAAGTAAACGAAATAAAGGATTAAACCAAAGAAAACAAAGGGCAAAAGGGAAGGAGAAAAATTACTAGGAGTAAAAAGTTCAGTAACAAAATATTGCTGTTCTGGTCTGGAAGACATGGTGAGTACGTGAAAACTATACATCCGTTCAACCTCATCTAGACTGACAGGGCCTTCAAATATGATACATGTTAAACAACTACCCTGTGGCAAGGCCTCAAAAGACCTTATGGTATTTTCTGTTTTTTAAAAATCAGGTACACAGAAAATTGTGTTGGCATTTTGCTACGAGTATGCGGCTTAAAAGCCGAATCTCAGATGTGAAGCAGGTACATTTCAGAGAGAGGAGGAGGCTGGAGCAGCCATCACATTTGAAATCACTTTCAGGGAAACTGCTATGAGATTTTTGAACAGGGACACAATGGAATTGAATGCTATATTATGATTCTCAGAGGCAACCAACGTTTGAATTTTTTTGCTATTCTTTAAAATGGATTAGCTGATTTTCTTCACCTAATGATCCTTCTGCTCTTCTACCGCACATTTACGCAGCCACACTACTGGTTGCTGTTTCTCAGTGGGGAAGTGGCAATAGGGTGTTAAGTGACTGCATTGGCACAAGGGGAGAGCTGCGAAGGGTGCTCGGGTCTCTCCTTTTCTCATCCCAGTCCATGCAATAGAGATGGTGCTGGCTGAGGGCTGCTCCTCACTCCCTTTCCTCAAAGGCAGAAGACCTCATGATCTTCACAGTAATATGAACAATACACTTCTATGGATCTTCCCCCACCAGGGACCACCTCCGATAGCTGAAGCTGGAGAACACTGTTAATGCTGTTGCTGCAGTTAATAAGTCAAATTGTTCGATATCAAAATAAAGTAAACCTTTTGATGAGTTTTTACAGTTTCTCACAGCATCTTAATATGGCCTTTACCCTGCCCAATTATATTCAGAGTCCTTCAGTTTCCTGGGCAAGAGGAGAGGGAATGTCTTTGGTCACGTAGGATAGCAGATTTAACAGCAGTCTCAGCTGCAAATTTGTGTATTGTCCCCACAGTATCCCCCAGAATGAATGCATGCTGCAATCTCTTTTTGCCACGTTGCTGACAAGAGATGATCCCCAAAGCAGAGAAATACCTTTATAAATAATGTCCTCTACTTCCTCCAGGAGGCAGTTGTGAATGATTCCCCATGACAGGGAACATGTGCATGGCTTTAAGTCCGAGGCACTGTTTTCACACTAATTTTTACTTGTGAATTCCTCTCCCCTTTTTCACCTTGCCTGAACAATTTAGGAAGGAGGGAGAGAAAGGGGTTGTATTATTTTGTTTGCTTTTTTTTTTTTTCCTAGGCATAAATAAATTTACTAAGAAGCTTAGAAATCCCTATGCCATCGACAATAATGAGTTACTAGATTTCCTCTCCAGGGTACCATCCGATGTTCAAAAGGTAGGTAATGAATGGCCACCGCCAACAGAGGCAATGAGCGGCACTGAGAGCGGCTGGGTGCTCTGCTTGGGGAATACGATGCCAGTGCACATTTGAATAATGGAGATAAGGAATTGGGGAAAATCCACAAAGGGAGGAGGGGGGAGGGTGTTAGAAGAGCGGGGAGCCAAAATCCTTTGTCAGAAGGATAAAATGATTGCAGAAAAATTGTCCTGGAAAGACCTACTTAAAAATGATCTGGAAAATCACCCAGCACGGTTACTGAACTATGGTTTCCGTCACCTTTCTGCTCTGGTATTTGCACAGAGAGAAGAGAAAAATAGTCTTTTTGATAGAGATAACCATCCAAAAGGATTTGCTGAATTCTCACTTTTCTCACGTTGGTGGGGGGGGAGGGACACAACACATTATTTCCATGACTTTGTGCTTGCTGTGGTCTTTTTCACATCAGCTGTCCCTCAAAATTCTTCCTCCCCACCCACCTTGAGCTCCAGACCTCCCTTGGACAATGCTCCGCTCATCTTTTTCTTTAAAGAAAGCCTTGAGATGTGTATAAAATACTCTGCAGTTAATCAGATCAATCTTCTACCATTATGGAATTATAGCTTTTAATCTAACCGGAATCTATCCTCCCTCAATTTCAGTCAAGTCTCCTCTCTTCTCCTATTTCTTTTAAACAACAACACTGTCTTCAGTAATCTCGCCTATCTTCCTGGAAATTATTTGAACAATAAGTCCTTTAGAATGTCAAGATCTGTTTATTTCTCTTGAAGGAAGGAAAATAGTCTCTCTGGGTAATGAAGCCACACAACATAAAGGATTCTTTCTTTTGTTTTAATCAACTGGAATCTGTGTCCTCAGGCCCTGATCTTGATGCCCTGGATCCCACTGACATTGTACCTTGCTTTGTGAATCGTGGTGCTTTCACAGTGAGGTGCTGCTCACGGTGAACAAGGGGATCACAGTCTCGCCTGTAGTGATTTTACTCTGTTGGAGACAGAAAAATAATTGTCTACATGCAGTGTCGAGGCATCTGGTAGAAACAAGGTTGGAAAAGGCTTCTGGTGACATTTATCTCAAGAGGCCACCAGATTGGTTGGTGGCAGCACTAATAACTTGAGAGGAATCTCGCCAGAGACTGGTGGGAGGAAAAAAGCTAAACAGAAATGATCATAGAGACATTAAGCTTCAGTGTATTTTTATTTTTTTGTCATTGCTTTTGTAGAGCACGCTGGATTTGCAGTGATGGTTTGCATATGCCCTTTTAGTGTTTATGTTTGAAGATAAGCTGCTTTTCTATTTATGCTTTATTTAACATTTACATTTATAACATTTCCTTGAGTGGTTTCTATCATTTTGGGATGCTTTGAGCTCTCCAGTGAAAATGATAACCATTTTCTATGGGAGGAGTGATAAAAATTCTTAGGATGGGACAAACCTTCTCAGAGTTTTCCGCTAGTGCTGAAAATAGTGAGCCCGTGTGACCTAGCCACACGCTCTAGTGAAAAGTCATCCACGGCAGCTCTGTCTGCTTCATTTTACATGCCGTGTCAATGCATCATCATTTCGCTGTGGTACCGCAATGAGTTAGAAACTACCTCTGCACATTAGCCATTTACAACCCACATGTTCTGGACAAAAGAGAGAGGAAGAGTGAAAAAGATGCCACGTTCAGCAAAAGTTTCCCTGTGATTTCAATGGAAATACTTTCCTGTAGCACAGCAGATAATTTGGAGAGTACACCGTCCTTGTCAGTTTATCACACATGTTTTAACCATTATATTGTATATGAAATTGTTTTGAAAGGTGGAGGCAGCTTTGTCCAGGTTCTATTTGGGAAAATATTTTCCTTTTTTGAAATGATTAAATATGTCAGCATCCCAAGGTCTGTGTACCATTTTGACAACTGTCATCTTCGTGCGTATTGGGATCCACTTGAATTGAAACTCCTGAGAGAAGTTTATTAAACTTACAGGTTAATGCCAGAAAGATAAGAAAAACAACTCCCAAACCAAAACAAACCCAAAAGATCTAGCCTACATTGCTGAAATCAGGTAGAACCCCATGTATCTCATTAGAAAAATCTGCTTTTAATATTTTCATTTCAAGAAATGATGCATGACTTCTCAAATCCTTCCTGCAATTAATCCCCCATGTTCCTGTGTTTAGAAAATGATTCATTACTTTTGAACCTTCCTTAGTTTCCCTTGGTTTGTCCTTGGGGAGCCATTAACACACACTGTAGTGAGCTAGAGTTACCTAACTGCAAACGTCATGTCTATTTGTTTTTACAGGTGCAGCATGCTGAATTGAAACCATACAGCAGCTCCAGTCCCATTAGGAAGAAGCGGAGTGCGCTATAGGATGCAGCGTGATTTCGGAATGCAGCATCTCCCTCTGTACCCCCTACACGTGCATACACGCTTCCCCCCTCCCCTTCTTGCTTCAGAACAACACTATAATCACCGTCACAGACTTTTTTTTCTTTTTTGAAGATGTGGTTTTTGATAAACACCTATCTTGGGTTGTCTTTTTCGGGTTGTCTTTTAAGCATAGAGTCGTAGCCCACAAAAGAGCAAGGTGGAATATATGAACTGTTTTTTGGGGTGGGGAGGAAAATGGGACGGGATGGTGCATCTGCACCTTTTTTGTTTTTTCCCCCCCCCCCTTCGATTGTAGAGGCAAGGCTGGATGTGGCAGCACTCCTTTTAAGTAGAAAGACATAATTCCGCTTAGCGTAGCAGATCAGCTGAGCTGATGTGAGAAGATGCTCTGAACCAGTTTTTAACATATCCAACAGATTTACATTAAGATATGAAAGCTATTCTTTTCTGACTTAAATCACTGTGCCTAGGAAGGTTTAAGCTCTGAATTAACGAGTCTTTGATACCCATCTTCTGTTCGAGCAGTGTACATTTTAAAAAGTTTTTTATCATAATTAGCAGAAAGAGCTAGGAGCTCCAACAGTATCTCAATATTTCATCCAACACTTGTGGGTTTTTCTTTTTCCCCCTTTTTTTTTCCTCCTTGGTTTTTTTTTAAAGCCCGCCCTGTGGTTAACTGTTTGGATACTGGAATCATCAGAGATCCATTGCTGGCAATGGATGCATGAGAACCTTCTGCCATGAAAGGATTAAGAGACTGTAGAAAAGCCTAACTCATTGACCTGAAAAGACTGTTGACTTGCCTTTTATAATTCCATCTCATCAGATATTTTCAGCATAGCTGTTGTTTTCCTGTCTAAATCCAGAGGGGTCAACACTACAGATCCAAGAGAAAAACACTTTACAGCTTTAAAGAAACAAGTGCTGGTGCAGAAAGAGTGCACGGTGCCCAAAGACGTGGTTGTGCAATAGCGTGCAGGCTTTGGTCCACCACTGATGTCTCACCGGAGAAACTAAGAAATGAAGAGAAAGGAGAAAGGATCCCACTTTTTTATTCTGAGGAGAATGTGATTTCTTGCTTGCTTACCAATCTTTTAGTTATTGTGCTTTTGCTTTATATAATTCAGATAATCAGCATTATTCACATTGTTTGGGGAAACTGAAACACAGAATCATGTGTAAACCTGCTTAATTTTGGTGAGAGTGTAGCCCTCGGTCCTTCAGGTGCTGCAGGACATTGTGGGAGCAACTTGCCACCGCAACGAGTCACTGGTAGCATGAGAGCTGGAGTTGCTTCTTGTGATTCCCAGGCAGGTGTTACTGCCAGCATCCCCTGGGGTGGTTCACAGTACAAAGAAATAGATAATCCCCAGAGACAGGTTTCTTTTTAATAAAAAAGGACTTTGGAAGTCATCTATTTAAAGGTAAAACGGGTAAAACCTTGCTTATGGGTCAGTGATCCAAATGGAGCCCCACTGCATGGTTTTGTAATGTGATCTTGTGGGCTTGTTGCATGAATTTGAAGACGGAAAACTAAAACCAGAGTATCTTCCACTGGATTGTTAGCCAGATTCAGTGATTTTTCAAGAAGTTTGTTTTTTTCAAAGTAACAAGCCCCACTGTGCCTTTGAATGAGGCACATTTTCATAGACTTGATTGGATAAAGAATGTATTTTGCTCATGCAAAGCTGTGTGTAGCTGCAAATGGAAAGATAGAAAAAAAGATTATCCTGGTTTAAAAAGCCACAAAAATGCCTCTTTGTGTGCACGTGTGCCTGTGTACCCATGCGTATACAGAGTTATGTATAAAGAAGAGTACATGTATAATGTATTTATAGGTGAGTGTGTGTGGGAAAATGAGTGAATATACAGATTTGAAAACCTTGAAAATGTTTATGAAAAATGCCAAAGATTCTAAAGCTTATCATCTTGCGTCTGTTCTTCTTCATTTTGTATCTTTCCCGGCATGTCTCTCTGGCTGAGCCAGATCTCTGCATGATTTGATTTACTTCAAGTTAATGAAGCTGGTTGGAAAGAGTCTTGTAGAAATTATAAAATCTCCAGTAAATCTCCTTCTTGTACATACAATAGATGTCCATGGACCCTTTTTGTTAAACCAGTTTCTCAATCTTCTGTGTAAACAATGCCTCATTGTCTCGCTTTAAACTAGCATCTGGTTTATCATCCTGTAGTCTTGTCATTTTGTAAGGACCAAAGTCAGACATACTTAAGCAGGCATGCGAGAGCTGATCATTGAGTGCAAACATTCAACTGCAGGAAAAATTGTTTATTTATTCAGAGGTTGGGACTGATACTTTAATAGTTGGGGTTTTATTTTCCTATAGATTTTTCCACGTGGAACTCATTTCTGTTTAGGAGACGGGGTGATGTCTAATTTTTTTAAGTGTAGATATGTTGTGTTTCAGAATAATTTGTATTAGATTGTTATGCTGGAGCCATACCAAATGAAGGGGTTTGGATGGTCCAGTACCTATATATGTTGTAATGAGCTCTTTGTTTTGATAAATGCTGTTTGAGATGCAATAAAGATTTGAGGTTAAGCTGATGCTTTTAATTTATCTGGATTAGGATATATGTTTCCCATTCTTTCAAAGTGCTTACTGTGCTATAATATTTAGTATCTGACTAGGTAAGCAAGTACATCTCTTGACAGTGCAGTGTAACAACTAATGCCGGAGGTTACTGCAAATGGAGACTGTGCTGCAGCAGGAGGTGAGGTAAAGTCCTACCCCACCTGTATAGAAGTCTTCAGTGGGATTTCCTAGGCCCTACCTAAAGGAAAGGAGGGTTATGGGCATTTACTGCATGCTCCAGTAATCAAACTCTTTATTCAGATTTTTCATTTGATTCTTAAAGCGAGAATATTAGTTGATGCATATCTCTGTGTGTCCATTTGCCCATGTAAATTATCAGGTTTTACATTGTTAATCTGTTCAATGTATAGCATGGAAATTAGAAACTTATATTTTGAATTTAAGGTAGTCATTTCAGTGCAAGAATATGTACATTTGCAGTCTAAAGTCTCTAAGACTAGAAGGCGTGGATTACAGAATCATGGAGATATCAGAATATGACTAAACATGTCCACTAACTGTACAGTGTGTAAATAACTGGATTTGACATATATGTGCAAATGCAATATGTACTCATGTCTGCCCAAACATACGCTGCTACTGAAGGTTGGTTTCTTGAATAATCATGAATAGGACTGAGGACTCGTCTCCCCTGTGGATCACTGTCAGTAAACCTCAGTCACTGACATGCACCTTGTGGAAAGCAAGCAAACAACTGAATAAAGCAAAGTCGGTGGAAATGTCACGCACCTTTTTTTTTTTTTTTTTCTCTTTTTTTTTTTTTCCTCCAGCTTGCAAAGCTCCGATGTTAACCTTCGGCTGTAGCCGTTCCTCCCTCTGCTTCCCCTCAGTCCTCTCCCAAACCACCCACAAAGCGGTGGAGAGCTCAGGCTCTGCCCTGCTGACCTGGGGCTCCCACCTGGGACCAGCCAGCCTGTACCCCTTTGCCTGGGAAAGGGAAAGGGCTCGTCCCCTAGAAATTAGACTGCCTGCTGCTAATTCACTGCCTGGGGTAAGAGTACTAACTCCTCCCTGAGCTGGGCTGTCCCACTAGAACACAGAGACTTGCCATTTAATTTCCTGTACTCTACATGGGGCTACGTTTTATTTTACTTTTTTAATTTGGAAGGCCTGATCCTGCAGGCATTACTATGAGTGGAACTGGAGTTATTTTCCCATCAGATGGGTAGGTTCAACACCAGGAAGGAATTTGGCGGCTCTGATGTGTTAAGAAAAAAATCAGCAGAATACATTCTAATCAAACCTTAACCTTTAGATTCCCTGTCCTTTAAACTAAGCTGATGGACTGTTTGGGAAATGTTGGCTTTGACTTTAGAGACTATGGCGTGTGTTAGAAGTGAATCCTGTTCTGACTTAATATTGTACGTATTTTAATCTGTAAAGCTACATGTGTCAGGGCCCTGGTGCATCTACCCCTTCAAATCACACAGGGACATGATAAGAATATCTGCTTTTTAGCATCCTTAAAGTCAGCAACTTGGAAGGAAGCTGAGATACTCCAAATGATTGTTAATTTGCTGTATTGCAGATGGAGTGTTTTAATCGCTCTCAAATTGAAGTAAGGTAAGCCAGGTGGAATTCCATCATTTTGGGACAAAGTGTCTGCCTGATAGTTTATCAGTGGGGAAGACCCTCAGCAGCACCAGTAATTAGATAGTTCAAGGAACATGTGAGCAAAATATGTTTATGATTAAAGTAAATATTCACAAGCATTTAGAAATAATGTTGGAGTGAAGAAAACAGCCTCTTGAGATTATAGCATTTTTAATCTACTTTGTGACGCTTTGACTTAAAGCTGTGCAGCATTTCAAGAGAATTTAGAAGGTCCTTTTGTTTTGAATAAAAGACGTGCTCTTCTGACATGAATCATGAAACTGAGCATGGGGAAGCAGGAGGTGGTATTCAGGTCTCGGTGTTTGCAACAGCAGCAGCACCTGGGCGGGCATGAGTTCAAGTTCTCAGCGTGGCTTTAACCTGAGGGCTGGTGATTCTTGTTAAATTTTACGTGAAGGAACGTTGCCAATCAGTTCCTGCATGTCGGATTGAACACCTGCAACTTCCCTCTTGGCTGAACTAGATGGTATGCCTCTTACAGGGGAAGAAAGTAAGAGCTGGAAGACATGCTGGTGTAAACTTCATTTGTGCTGATGTCCTGGTGCAACCAGCCGTCTAACCTCTTGAGAACTTCCTTGCAGAAGGAAGGTAGGACAGGCTCATAGACTGGGCACATACATCTGGTTCTGGGTCTTCCAGGGCCAACTGTGGTCAGATTTAGATGGTCAACAGGTTGTGCCTCACACTAGTGCTCGTTGGCTGCTAGAATGGCTCCATGAAGCCGTGTACTCACAGCTAGTGCATTTAAAG